CATTAACTACGCTCCTGACGTGCTAGACTTTGCTCTAGTTAAAGGAGTCTCTCTATGATCTAGGATCCGACTACCGTCCTGTATCCCTCCTTCTTGGCCATCAGCCACCTCCAACTCTCACTTCCAAAACCTACACCAACTGGAAGGGCTTCAGGAAGTCTCTAGCCTCGGCTATAGACTCTCCGGACCCTCCCATAACCCTTTCTTCCGACGTCTTCGACAGTACGGGGAAAATAGACACCGCGGTCGAAAATCTCACCTCTCTTATAACATCCTCTCTTAAAGAGAATGAAAAGGTTGTCCCGGTTGCCAAAACTAGTCTTCCCCTAGATATTAGCAACCTACTCAAAGCCAAAAAAGCTGCCCTCCGTAGAGCTGCACGCTATCCCACTCCCGAGTATAGACTCGCAGCCCACCGCCTTCAACGCAAACTCCGTTACCGCCTCAGACTTCAGAGACCTCGCTCGAAAGGGGCAATCTCATGGAGAAAATCTCCCCCCTCTCACACAGCGTACTACCAGATGGCGAGAGCCCTCCGGATAGACGCTATCACGCACACTCCCCCTCTGTCTCGTCCCGACGGCTCTATTGCCTTCGAGGACGAAGAAAAGGCTGTTGCCGACAGCGTCGCCGCTCAATGCTCTCCCAGCTCACAACCCACTGACCCCCTACATATCCAACTAGTGGACGACGAGGTCCGTCGCCGGAACTCGCCCCCCACAGCCTCTGACCCTATCACTGTGTCCAAAGATGAGATTTCATCTACCATCAAAGGTCTTGAGCCCAAAAAAGCATCGGGTGCGGATGGCATCTCCAACCAAGCCCTCAAACACTTTCCGGAGCAGGTGATCGCCTTATTGGCCATAATCTTCAACACCTGCTTCGAATTCAGCTACTTTCCCACCTCTTGGAAAGAAGCAACTGTCATTGGCATTCCCAAGCCAGGCAAACCTCACCACCTCCCCTCCAATCACCGTCCCATCAGCCTCCTCAAGGCCATAGGCAAACTTTTCGAACGAGTTATTCTCGTGCGCATGAGGCGCCATTTGTTTCCCACAGACGGCGACCCTCTTGTCATCCCTCAACAATTCGGGTTTCGTGCCAAACACTCGTGCCCCCAGCAAGTTCACCGCATAGTGGAATATATCCTCAGCGGTTTTTATCCTCGACGTCAAAAGACCATCGCGGTCTTTTTTGACATTGCCAAGGCATTCGGCAGAGTCTGGCATGAGGGCCTTATCTACAAATTGTACGAGTTAGGCCTCCCTGACCGCCTCGTCCGCCTTGTAGCCTCCTATTTGAAGGATCGTACCTTTCGTTTTAGACACGAAGGCACACTATCCTCTACTCGTCAAATCAAAGCCGGTGTCCCTGAAGGCTCTGTGCTTGCCCCCCTCCTATATATACTATTCACCAACGACATCCTATACCGTCGAATGGTGTTAAACTAGCCCTCTTCGCAGATGATACAGCGCTTTACTCTAAAGGCAACTCACTGCCACAGATTCGGAACAAAATCCAAAAGTCAGTTAACGGCTTAGGAGCTTGGTTCCAAAAATGGCGTATCGACGTAAACCCGGATAAGAGACACGCCGTTTGCTTCGAATATAAACGACGCCGTCTCACCACCACTCCGCCAATTCAGGATGTTAGGAACCCCTGTCCCATGGCAAACAAAAGCCAAATATTTAGGCGTCACCCTTGATGCAAAGGCTCACTTTCGAGCCCCATATCAAGAAGGTAACTCGCACCGCACGATTTTACATGGGTAGGCTCAACAGCATGTTGGGCAGACACAGTAAAATGTCCCTCCGCAACAAGTGAACCCTATATAAGGTCTGCATACGACCTGTCATAACCTACGCGGCCCCCATTTTCGCACATGCTAAGCCCAAAGTTATAAATGAACTTCAAATAATTCAAAATCTATTCTGTCGTAGGGCCACTAACTCGCCCTATTATGTCCGTAATGCCGACCTACACCGGAGACTTAGAGCTCCCAACAATCCAGCACTTCCTTAAATCACTCTCTGAGAGATTTTTCAAAGCCGCCTCAGAGTCCCACCCAAATCATCTCATTCGTGAGACAGCTGCCCATACAGCCCCTATCCACATATGCGCACACTATATCCACTCGCTATAGTGTGCGCAGACCGTGTTTAGTGGGTAAAAGTCTCCACATAAACACGCAGCCGGCTGCGGGATATGCTATGAGCGTTCACCGCCTCCCTCCCCCGCTTTCCGGAGGGTTGCCCATATTTGCTTCGGGCGCAAAAAAAAAGGAACATCGGGCAGTTGGATTGTAACCGGCGAGCAGACAACATCTCTGTTAATACGTAACCGTTAGATGTGTACCGTGTGAAGTGAAGTGTGTTAGTGACATTGTGTAGTAAGTGATACCGTGTACATTGTGCAAAATAAAGCAGTGTATTGTATACTCATGATCATTCAGAAAGTGTTCCTAGCTAGATCAGTCTTTTGAAAGCTATTTATGAGCGTATTCCTAATATCTTCAAGAGGGTTCCAAGGTAAGTCTCAAGTGGCATGACCTTTGTCTTGTATTTGTCCCTCTTCCTAGTGACTTAGAGCAGCAGTGACTTTTTGGTTGAATTCAGAAATATGCCTTTCCCAAAGTTTTATCCATACTGACCTAAATTTTCTGCGTTAGAGAAGCGAAATTAATATAAAAAGAAAAATAACATTTTGACGCACCACGCCGCGTCAGCGCAAAGGTTTATTCTGTTTATTATTCACACCGTAAGAACCGAGAATTATTCGTCACATAAAATCTCCGTAATTACTTTCATTGCGTATGTTTATTAAAAAAATACCACTCTATCCTTAGACAACGAGTAATGAAATGACCAGGTAACGGAAACCATATATCAGGAACTCCACGAGAGGTTCTAGAAGACGATACAGACCCTTCATAGACACAGTCTACCTTCGCCGACTACGTTTTGGTGACCTATTTGTGGGGGATCCAGAGCTTTTCTCCCCGATACAGGACCAAGTTAATAAACCAGCAACTGTATCAAATACACCCCAAAAGGTTGACAACATTGCCATCAGTCCAGCTTGTCGCTATTCAAAGAGTAACTTAGGCATATCATTTCTAACTATATTTAGAGTATTAATTTGCACAAAAAAGTAAAGCACTGTCAAGTGGATCGGTAATTAATAAGTACGCGTCGGAAGCCGTAATCGAAAATGACAGTCAGGCGCTACTAGGATTTTGGCATTTCTATCAAATACGAACTAAAATTGTTCAAAACGACTCACACCATCATATAATTTCACGCATCACACCAGCGGAGCTAGTCAAGGCTTTCTGCAATTATTATCATCAATAGGAAACTGTAAAAAAAATGGGAGTGACATCTTATTTCGAAACGTTAAGCATGTCATACTGTCACATGACGGAACATTTATTTGGCGATTGTATAAATTCAATTTGACTAGCCCCCATAGTTACATCCATGGCAAATACCTGTTACATATTGCGCGAGCATGATTTAACTAAGCAAGTTTTATCTCTTCCGCATATACCCTACTCACATATGTTGGGTACAAAATGGGGATGTGCGAAAAATATAATAAACTAGAAAAAGCGGTGAAAAGCTGCAGAAAACTGATGTACACATTTCAATAAAATATCGGTACAGTTTTTTAAAAAAGCATAAAGAAATGTGGTTTGGCTAAGTTTATTTCAAAGTTTAAGCAACTACTGCATGAATGGTTTAGACAGTGAGAAGGTTCATAAACACTACGTGAATCTAAATGAAACTACTTACTATGATGAATACGATTTTATTCGGATGGTTTCAAACAAACAATACTGTGGTAACCACAGTAAAATACAGTTAAGCTTATTAAAAATCAGAAAATTAATAATTAAAATAACAAAGGCGGGATTTATTGATTTGTATAAGAATAGAAGTAGGTTTTTTATAACAAAAGGTCAATAAATTCGACACCAGAATCGTTATTGTACACAAGATATAAAATATACTTTTGATAACAAATAAGTCGATAATTTATGGAACAATAATAATTACTAACACATTTTTATTTGCAACTTTAAAGAAGATAGGTAACTAAAAAATCAAAAACTGTTTATAATAAATTACATTTACGACAATAATACATTGGTTTTGGCTTTGTATTAAAAATATAACTAAATGTTTAAATTCAATTAAAAGTAGGGTAATTACGACAGAATACTTTTTTAATAAATAAAGTTGGCTAATTTCTAATATAATACTAAAACTCTACATCCAGGTAACACTTATATTATCTTTTACATAGGTAGTGCAGCAAGTGATCAAATCACAATTTTTAGCTAACTCTCCTTAAATGACTGAAATTAAGATCATAATAAGATCTTAATAACTTTTTTAACCAACTGACAATTTATATCGATAGCACATATCAAGCAAAAAGCTGATGACTAATACACTTTACTCACTAATATTTATGGTTCTAATCGAATTTTTGTCATAACTTCCAACTCTGAGTATGAGTTATTATAGCTGGCATTTTTACACTTAAATTAAATCTGTTACAATATAAAATTGAAAACTGGCTTTAATTACTTGGTATAAAAAATTGCGAAGAAACTAACCAACGAAACAAGAAAAAGAGTGCATTAGAAGAGCGGTGAAAACCAGGCATTTTGTTAGAAAATCTATTATGATAAAGTCTCTACTGGAATTGATAGATTTCTTTATTTTACGAAGTAAACTTTTAATATGTATAGAAACCTAATTTAATATCTAGACGAACCATAAAATATTTGATAGTACTGTGTTTATTTATCAAATATATACCAGTAGATGACATGTGTATGAAACAAACATAAATGCTTTTGTATAATGTGTCCAGTAAAACGGGCTGGTAAAAGTTTTACATTCTTTATCTGGTCTCGTTGGCCTGTGTGGTTTGAATAAAATTTTGGCAGCACTAAGTTCAGCAGGTGTGGGTCTAGCGTCCGATGTTACCTTTGATAGCGTTCACTACATCCGTAGAGGAGGCGGTTCCACCGCAGTCGGACGTGAGTATGCGGTCCACATTGATAGTGCGGTTTACGGCGCTGCGAAGTAAATCCGCGTGGTAATGGTGGCCGAGATGCTCTAACATGTCGACGGATGCGTTGATCATCGCTATAGGGTTTGCGATGTTCTTGCCTGCAATCGCTGTACCTAAAACACATAATGGCAAGTGGTGTTAAATCAAGAAAGTAAACTATGTTTCATTTTTTCGCTGACTCATAATAAAAATTGTATAGTATACTATATTTGGAGTAAAAAAGGACAATGGGAAAATAATAGGTGATGGAATTATTAAGCGTCTACATAAATCACCATTACAGATATCAATAAAATAATTTACTGTGTTTTATCTAATCAAACTTATGACCTATCGAAGTCTGGAAAAATTCATCATACACAAAATTCTAAACTTAATTGACTAGATGTTGTAGTTGTTACAATTCGTCAGTTAAGACAGGCAAAGGTCTTATACCATACACCCGAGTTTGAGGTATATTTTATTCAGAAAACTTCCATAAGATTCCCTCTATGGTAGTAATTACCCTATATAAACATGTATAAAAATTTAATTGACTAGTTGTTGTTGTAACGATTTACCAATTAAGGCGTTTTATACCATACAGCCTAGTCTGATGTTTATTTTGTTTAAACTAAAATATCTTTAATTCCCGACTTCCTGCAGTAGTATGATCGAAAAAAAGTCAAATAAAATTTATTTGGGAGTTTGCCATGGTCCTTTGTACATTACAATTTTGACTCAATATAACTTTCTCTCTCTTAAATATAAATTCCATTCACTCAGTTCTTTAATCATAGTTATAGTTCATAAAAGATAGCTTGATCTCTGCGACAGCTGTCAGTAAAAATTACGCCTATGAAGTCCTGAATTTCTTAGTAGTACAGACACTAGTCAAAGTACAGACAGTACCTGTCAATGTCATACTTTATGGGCATGCACTAATTAGGTCGGCATGCCCATAAAGTATGACATTGACAGGTACCTATTGTCTGATCGGTCTGTACTACTAAGAAATTCAGGACTTCATAGGCGTGATTTTTACTGACAGCTGTCGCAGAGATCAAGATATCTTTTATGAACTATAGAGACAAGATTCAAACATTCACATTAATGAGGTAGAGACTTAACACTAATACCCTGAACGGTATTTCAAAGACATTACCAGTGTTCCTGGTGCCAGGTTCAAATACTGCATAGTTGTCGCCGTAGTTCCTGCCAGAGAGCAAGCCTGCACCGCCAATTATACCGCAAACAACATTTGATACGATAGAACCATACAAGTTTGTCATAAGCATTACGTCGAACTGATGTGGCCTGAAAATAAATACATAGTCTGTAGTTATAGTTATAGGTTGCAAAACGAAATCATATGCAACTTCACGTTTAAAGCGCGTATTTTGCTTATGAGAAAATATAGACACACGGCAGCCATGTTAGGAAAAGAAAAGGGCTAACGCACTGACTGTGTGTATATTTACAAGAACTATTTCGAGCCACCTTCTTATACTCGCCATTTCTTTTTTTTATAGTATAAGGGTGACAAACGAGCACTTAGTCCACCTAATGGTAAGTAGATGCTGTGGCCCATAGACATCTATATCTATCATGCAGATGCATTGTCACCTGTGTGGACTAAGATGGAATGCCACGTTTCCAGTAAAAGATGTCTCCGGTTCTCTACACTCACCATACGAAACACATCAGCGTTAAGCTGCTATTTTACGCTGGTATTCTGTGAGAGCGTGGTTCTTCCCCGGTCGAGCTGACCCATTCGTGCTACAACTATACTACTAATATAGCTACAGCATGAATCTACCACGGATAAAATTTCTCAAAAATTATTAGACTTGCATACTAGTAATTCTGCATACCTAATGAGATTACCTAGAATTTATGAATAAACCTATTATGGTTCTTGAGTTATTAAGGTCTGAAATGTTTTTTATCACTCACTCGCCAAAAATCAAGGCCACTTCTAAGTTATTTAGAAACTTGAAATTTAGTATTAAGGTAGATAGATCATTAGGCATATACAAATTTAAGCACATCAAATTACGATATTCAGTGTCGACAAAGTAATTTGTGAAACCAACCACGCCAAAAATATGTCAACATTTAACTTTTATTATATTTGTAGGAAGGTAGTTAAATAGAATTAATTTACAATCACAAAATACACGGACCACAGGTAATCAACTATAAATTGTATGTATTCGTTTACATGAATTAATTATCCGAATAGTCGAGGATGTGCTAGTAGCGGGGTACAACAAGTGCACCGTGCCACGCCAGCGCCAAGACTGCCTTAACGGCGGCCGCTCCGTCCGTTTTATACAATCGAGACAAGTAGCTACACGAGCGCCACTGCAGGTGCCACGCGCAGGTGTGCGGTGCACGTGTTGTTTACAATAATTCCGACTAGCCACAGAGGCGCTGCTACACGTGCAACAGCGCAGGTGCCGACATATTCATTGACGCTTCCTCTATTTGTATACTGTGCAGTCATGAATTGACTGATCGAGTAGCACAAATTTTACTGTTCCGAGAGAAAAATATGATTTTTAGTGGTATACCAAACAATATCATCTACCGCTGACGACACTATACAATTCAAATTAAAAAGTTTAAAATTAGTTTTAAAAGTGAAATTTCTTGAATTTATTATGAGCTACTAAATGAGAAAACTTATTGAAACGCTTATTAACTTTTTGGACAATTCCAATGCAAACAATTTTTGCATTTCAATAACTTTTAGGTTAGAATTGTTTTTTAAATTTTGTAAATGTAAGACCATTTAATCTTTTGTTACTTGAACAAGTGCCAGACCAGATATAGAAAGGTAAGCCCAAAAATTTCAAATTTAAACATAGTATATCAAGAAAACTGATAAAGAAAATAATGGTGCTTTAAACAACTGCATTTGACAGTTATATGACTTACACAATATAGCGGCTCCTATAAGAAGAGCATTACTTCTATCAGAGTTAATGTATGATTATAAAGAAAGCTCTTAAGAAAACCTTGTGTGTTACTTCTTATTTGGTAGAGAAATTTGTCCTAAAAAGATCAATAAATCAAAGGATCTTGATAACATGATACAATCTAAAATAAACATATAGAAACTTTTAACTATTGGGACCTGTCTCCATCCAATACCAGGCATCCAATAGCCTACAGAACTTGCTCTATCCCAGCAAAAGAAAAGATCTTAGCTTAACACCGGAGTTTTACTAAAACTCTGTCCAATTAATTGCTGATTAAGTCATCATGCTACACCATATGTTTCTATTCTTACATGGTACGGCCATGCTGCAGTTATATTATTGTAGTAACATGAATGGGTCGCCTCGACTGGATTGGACCAGGCTCTCACAGAATACCAGCATGAAATAGCAGCTTAAAGGATGACTCACGCTAAACCTTGTTGGGTCCGAGCCGAGTGTCGGCCGTAGTACGGTCAACTTATATTTTGTATGGACACACTCACGCTATACCGAGCGACAACCGAGTGACGGCCGAGCAACGGACAACGCTCGGCAAAAACTCTGTTCTGGCTTGTTGTTGAAGACTTATCAGATTCTTCATCGTCCAGAGCGATCGCAATAGCCGCAATTTCAGATTCAAACTTCAACACGATTGTAGTGTAGTTACAACACTATTTTTGCTCGGATGGATATACTGCATCAAGACGCTTACTACACTAATTACAGACACTTGGCTCGGACCCGACTCTGTCTAGCGTGAGTCATCCTTTATGCTGCTGTGTTTCATAAGGTGAGTGTCGCACAACCGGAGACCCTTTTTACTGGAAACGAGTCATTCCATCTTAGTCGTCAGGGGTGACAAAGCATCTGCATATTGATTCATAATCGAGGATGGATGTAGATGTTTACGGGCCACAGCATCCACTTAGCATCAAGTGGACTGTGTGCTCATTTGTCACCCTTATATTATTTATAAAAAAAATCAAAATTTCCTCACCTAGCCACAAGCTGCATGCAGCAGTTGTCAATGATCATGTCATTGTGTTCAATGTCTGGGTACTCCTTGGCGAGGCGGCGCGAAGTCTCCAAGAACAGGCCGTCGGAGAGCTTCATAATGTTCGCTTTGTGGACAGTAGTAACCTAAAAATTTTTATTCATCTATTAGAAATCTGTTAACCATACATTTTTGATAACGATCTTTAATGAAATAATAATAGTAATGTCCTCCAACCCAATTTCGGCCACGGCGGCCTGCCTCAACGGAGGCTAGCCATCGGCGCAGGACAGGATTATAGTGCCCAAGTGTATGCGCAAGCACAGGTGCACTCTCTATTCCCTCACTCTCATAATCCGATGGGACGGTAAACCGACACGACCAGAGAGAGATCAGGCGCAGGACCAACGGCTTTACGTGCTTTCCGAGGCACGGGGGTGAGACCACCGACTTCCTGACTACGCACAGCTACTGAGAATTCTTGACAGAAAAACTCAATAATTGATTTTTTGGCCCGACCCGGGATTCGAACCCAGGACCTCACGATCAGCAGTCGCACTACTACAACCACTAGACCAACGAGGCAGTCATTTTGCCCGTACAATTTGAATGTGAAATAATTCACATTCAAAATGTATGGGCAGTAAATTATGATATATTATACATACTCACAACTGTCTGTATGTTCAACATGTTGAGTATTTGCTAATCTTTTAAAGTTATACACGTCAGTTGACGCATTTTAAAGGAAGCCTACCCCACCGAGCCTTCCCACGGAGCCTTCCCACAATGGATTAAGAAAGGTTGTTAAAGAAAATATAGCGAAACCCTAAGGAGATCTAGTCTACGTCGCCTCGTGAACAAAGTACTAAATTACTACTTTGCGGCTCCAAAACAAACAAAATAAAAAATGACTATCCTTTATTATAATAATTTAATTGATAATTTCCATAAGTTAATAAGTTATTTTACGTCAGTAAATAGTACTGTCACTTTAATCAATTGAATAGTAATATGCAAAGAATAGATATTACAAAGATAAAATATATGATAGATGTATAGTTTTATGTTTATATATAGTATATATAGCGTTCCTCCTCGGCATCGCATGGGTGATTTCTGGATCTCGACAACAGCGCCACCGGGTCCAATTATAAAGTTTAAAGTCTAAAGTTTAAACCATCCAATGACCCGTCCAATCAAACACAAACAAAAAAATTCGTCCGAATCGGTCAAGCGAGTTTTGAGATTTACCGACACTTAACAGACAGCAATTGATTTTTATACATAGAGATATTATTTGTATCATAAACATAATCTGTTAGATAATTATCTAATCAATGTCCCTCATAAATCCTATACCTTTAAACGAGCAATTCTTGTGTACATATTAGTGTTGCCCAAAATCGGTCTTGGTCTTGCAGTCTTGGTCTTGTTCTTGCATTTATGCAAAACCAAGACCAAGAACAAGACCGCCTAATTTTAGCAAGACCAAGACCAAGACTGACCGTGCAAGATTTGAGAAAGAACAAGACTAAGCCTGCGAGACTCTTGCGTCTTGCAGTTAGTAATGAGTGTCGTTTCAGGGAGTATAGGAGTTCGGGTATACGCTTAGGGACTCTATAAGACGCAAAAAATATAAAAAAAAATTGGAAAATGGACTTATGCGCATTACAAACAATACCATAAACATACATAGCGGATGAAAATATCCATTGAAAGAAAAAACAGTGCATCCCTAGTTTTGACCATCGGCACTTTGATAGTGCGCGGTGTCTTGTTGTCGGCACCATCATAGGTCGAATACTGACCTGTCAAAGAAATTTTGCAGCTATTCGGAGGTACAAGGTCAGGATACACGCGCCGGCGGCTTCTATTGATATCGCATTCAATCGTCGCCGCCGCGCCGCACGCACTACATTTGACACTGTTTGAAAGGCGCAACAGAGTACATGTTCCAAAGAAGAAAATAAGTTTCCGGGTGCTCAGAATGGACACGAATACATTATGCTGATCTCGCAAGGAATATTGTAATTAGATAATGGTAAGGATAGGTAGATAACGTAATAATTTAATCTAGTAAGTAATTATTATAATATTAACTATATGGGTTTATAATAATTACTTATTATTATTATTATTACCTAATAGATAAACATGTTCTATAACTTCACTGCAAATCTCGATTTTTGGAAGTGTGTGTTTTTGAACACAAAGTGTTCGAATATGTCGTCACCCATTTGATAAATATTGTAGACACTTTTAACGCACTTGAAACGTGTAAACATTTTGTACAATGCTAATCGAATAATATAAAAAGTGTGCATATTAAATAAAAAGCGTAAAATAAGATCTATGTACTTTTTAGGAGCCCGAGTATCTCTTAGAGAACCGTTTAAAGAAATTGATTGCATCGAGATGATGTAAATAATAGTGATTTGCACAATTTTAATAGTAGAAATAAAAATAAAATCACAATACCTGCTTTCTGGTTACACAAAGTATATAATGCGTTCTTGGGTAGCGATATACGCTTTTATAATAAGATTCCAAAAGAAATGTTAGATCTTTCACCTTTTCAATTTAAGTCAGACAAAAATGCTTGGAACTGACCACTAGTACTACACTGGACTAACTAGAAATTTCTAAACCGATTTGGTATCTACATATACATTTGACATTTTATGTTTGACTTATCGCTTTACATAATTATAGAACTATTGTAAAAATATTTTGAAAAGAGCAACTACTGAGTTTCTTACTTTCTTCCATGATTCTTCTCAGTAGAATCAGAACCGCTGGACAGGGAAAAGAAAAAATTGGGGAAAACAGTGGTTATATGACTATTCAAAAGTGTATTTTTAATGCCTACTTGAATAAAACATATTCGAATTTTGAATTTCAAACGAGTGAAGGCAAATTTAATTTAATTAACGTAGATTAATTCAATCACAAGAAGAACATAATATACACAATTTTATTTACATATTTACATTTCATTTTTACGTAGGCACACTATACCTATCTGACAACACATCTACTTTATTAATCTTCTGAAGAATCATTAATTTTATCAAAGGATGCCGAACTTTCCTTTGTCGGTCTTTCGGAGTGTACTTACAAATAGTAATTAGTATTTATTTTAATCCCAGTCATTCTCAATTGAGCTTTGCTTCGAGTCTAATGTATTAATTGTTTTTACTCTAATCCTTGTTGTTCTCGGAGTGATAATATTACAATTTGACATGAGTGACGAAGAGTCGAATAGTTCTAGTCGGAATAGTGAGAATTGGAGTTATAGATCTAAAAGACCTAAAAATAAATTTGATGAGTTTTTCGACATAATTCATGCATCCCAAATTGCTTTGTGTAAATTATGCCAACATAAAAAGGTTGAAATAAAAATGAAAAACAGAAACACTTCAGGTTTAAGGAAGCATCTAATATCTTTCCACAAAAAGGAATCACAAATATTTCTTCCTGAAAAAACCAAAATTAAGTGGAGATATCACAAGCTTTTTTATAACCACCGGAAAAAGTGTAAATGTAGTATAACTACCACTCACTGACTGATTATAACGATATCTTCAAGTTTGTATGTTTTATAGTTCCTGAGATATTGAGATATCGTTATAGTCAGTCAGTGAGTGGTAGTTATATATATATATATATATATATATATATATATATATATATATATATATATATATATATATATATAAAATATATATATTTTGTGTTAAATATGTATTTATAATCACACATATTTTCATTTGTTTTTATAATCGGCGAGACACATGATTTACTGTTTTATTTCAGTCTGAAAATAGCAGTGACAACATCACCACAGCTACAGTTGATTGAATGGTTAAAAAATATCTTCCCTTCTCATTTTTCGATGACGAAGCTACACAAGTATATTTTCGATCAATTTGCTCAAATATGGTGTTTCCTAAAAGGTCCACACTTAGAAGGAAGGTCAAAGAACAGTTTGAAGAGCTTCAATTGAATCTTAAGAAACGACTACAACAATTTTCATCTAAAATGTCATTTACAATTGATGGATGGACGTCAATTGCTGGTAGGAGTTACTACGGGGTCACTATCCATTATATAGACAACGAATGGAAGTATCGATCTGTAATCCTTGATTTTATACCATCACGCGGCCGACATACTGGGGAAGATATTGCAACGATTTTCCACGAATGTTAATATATTATAATTGATAAAATACAGGGTATCACGGTCGACAACGCAACTGCAGATACCAAATTTATATATGAATTGGACAAACAGCTGCCACACTTTGATTCAGACAATCAACATTTCCGGTGCTTTGCTCACATTTTGAACCTTGGTGTACAAGATTTATTAAAGACCTTAGCATTACACAGTGAAACTGACAATAAGGGACAAGTACAGCAGTATGAAGATTATGAAGATAATGAAGACGAAACTGAGGAAGATGAAGAATATGCGCCAAATATTGCTGACTCACGTACAGCTATAACAAAATTACGCAGTATTTCCATTAAAATAAAAAGAAGTGAGATATTGAAGAGGAAGTTTCAGTCTGCTTGTGAAGCAGCTGGCGTGCCATCAAATCTGAACCCCATACTCGACTATCCATCGAGATGGAATTCCACACTTGATATGATTGGATTTGGTTTAAAAGTGAGAACTGGCATTAACATATTGTGCACTTCTGTCACCGATTTGAATGATTTTCAAATCACAGATAGTGAATGGCAAATACTCGAAAAAATACATAAGTTTCTAATAAACTTTAAACTTCTATCAACGAAACTTGGTGGAGAAAAATATGTTACATTACCGCTAGTTATTGTATCATTCAATCTCTTGCTCGATAAAATTGAATCCATGGTAAAACAATTAGATGAGAAACCTAATCGTTCCGAAGTGGATGAAAGGCTCATTCCGGGTTTTCAAGCAGCTCGAGACAAAATGCTTAAACATTATAAAAAGAGCAACTGGATTTATTGTACCTCTGTAATTTTATACCCAAGGCATAAGACTCAGACTTTTTACATGACATTATGGGGGAAGCAAATTAAAACAGAAAGCCTGCGCAAATTTAATGAATTTTATAAAGAATATAAAAGTCTACACTCAGTGAATACATCTCTAGAATCACCAAGAAATGAAAAGTATGTGAATATGATGAAGATGAAGACGTAATAGACTTTGAGAAATTGTATGCATGTCCCTCGACGTCATCTGGATCTGCATCTTTTCATCAAGGCCTAGTTATAGACGATTTAGAGGAGTACCTAAGTAAACCCAGAGCCGCCAGTTCGGAAGACAGTTGAGACAGAATATCTGACTTTATCGAAGATGGCCCGTGATTTTCTTTCAATACCTGCAACTTCAGAGATTATTTTCTAAAGCATCATTAGTAATTAGAAAACATAGAAATAGGTTAAGTGATGATTGTCATTGATGTCAGCCAGATGGTTACTTTGTATTAATTCTTGGTCAAAAGAATTAATATAAAGTAACAGTAATGTCAAAGCTGTTGTGTACTGTTATGTAATTTAATTTGTATTGTATTTTATTTTATTTTTTTATTTAAATAAATGGTAAATTGTATAACTCTTTTATTCCATTTCATATAAAAAAAAAATAAGGGTCCATCAATCTCTTTCTAGACAGATAATGTCCTTTATAATACAGTCAAGTTAATGTCATTAATTTGTTTTTTATATGTTTTGACTAAGATTTAGCACATGTAAGCTTATTAAATGTAAATTTTTATTAAGAAACAGACTAACTCCCGTGGCCGTGAGACTTGGTAGACAGTTCAGTTGGTTAGAGCATCGGCACAGATCGCTTAGGTAGTGGGTTCAAACCCCACCCGGTATTAGTTGATTTTTCGAATTTCTCATTAAATGTTTAGACATTTATTAATTTGGTTGGTCTTTCTATGGCTATGTTAATTCAAGCTCAAAATGTGCCTACTCTGTTAAGTTGTTCTAAGATCTAAAGTAACGTTTAATAAATAACAATAGGCTAATAGGTAATTGCGAGACTTGCGAGACTCTTGCTGCAAGACCAAGACCAAGAACAAGACCAGGTGTATTGGCGCAAGACCAAGACCAAGACTGGCTAAGTCTCGTCTTGTTCTTGCATTTGGGCAACACTAGTATATATATACAATCGGAATCTCGGAAACGACTCCAATGATTTTCATAAAATTTAGTGTACAGGGGGTTTTGGGGGCAATAAATCGATCTAGCTAGGATTCATTTTTAGAAAATGTCCTTTTATCCATGTTTTCAGGCAATGAAAAACTGCTACAATATAAGAAGGTAAATTTTGACAGGTTATTAATGATCGTATTATCTCAAGTGTGTTGTTATCGGGCGATCGCGAAATCTGAGTGCCCTGATTCGCGTCCTGTCTCTGGTCCAACTTTTTTCCCTTATTTGCAAGTTCCCTTCTTTTGTGAGATGATCTATTATTTCGAGCCCTTTTTTTTAGTATTTTTTTAAAAATACGAAAATTTTAATTAAACTAATTGCACTCATGATTTTTTATTCAAATAACCAGTTCAGTTTTTTCTATTATGTCATAAGATCAAAAAATATTATTCATGTTTCATCACTATGTAATTTGTATCTTCTTTATTTAAAAAATAATATTGGATTACCTTCTTCCTTCCGTTTCTCTTCGCGTATTCGAAAGCGAATCGAGCGACACGCTCTGAATTACTGGCGGTTACAACTTTCATGGACTCAATCACTCCTCTTACAGATTCGTGCTCCAACATGGCATACTCGCCTTCTGTGTTTTGCCTTAAACAAAATAAATAATATAATTAGTTTCCAGTGAATTGGATTGGCGTAAAATGTATAATTATTAATAGAGTAACTTCTTTTTTTACACATGTAGTTGCCTCCAGTCACAACTATCAAAACACATATCAACAAACAACAAATACAGATTTTTTACCTGAATACCCCTAAAATTTAACCGTCGCATATCGCGACAGAACTCACGATACCATCCATACCATCTCGATGACTGGCGGTCCACTACCGTGCGAATTAAAAGTTTTCTTATTCGCACAACTTTCTTGAGGAATAGACTACCACCAGATTTTTCCGGACCGATACATAGGGACCTTCAAGAAAAGAGTCTACCCCTTTTTTTAAAGGCCGGCAACGCATCTGCAATTCCCCTGGTGTTGCAGTTGTTCATGGGCGGCAGTAATCACTTACCATCAGGTGAGCTGTATGCTTGTATGCCCCCTCTAATATAAAAAAAAGGAAATCAATGTTTATAAGGTTTTATTTTATATGTTTCTTTGCAACCTCCTATAATTTAAATGGCTAGACATACTTTAAGATGTCAATTGTATTGTGGTTGACTTTGTTTTGACATTTGATGTCTGTAAATGTGTCAAGTATGTATTATAAGTCCATAGATGGCATATATATTATAAAATGAAACTGAAAATGAGTGCTGTGGTTCCTACACATTATCACTGTAGTGGGGGATCCTTCTTGACATCGCACAACCATAAATTTCATCTATAATATATATGATTCTCTTTTCTTTTTCTAAATGTTTTGTATTTGTCAAATAAATACGGTTATTTATTTATTAATTCGTTCTAACTACCAGGTAGTATTATAAAAATAAATACTAGAAGTTTTAGAGTTACAATTTCGCGATGCGATAAAAATATCTATAATTTTAATTATACATACATATGTATAATCAGCATACCTAATGATGACAATATCAATGTCCTTATGCCTTGTTGAGACACCGGGGTAGGATTTGCAGTTAAGGACGTAGGCGTACATGTCCAGCTCGTTACGGAGCGCAACATTACGTGACGTCACATACGCTGCTTCGCTCTTCGTTTCGATGTTACCCTGCAATAATGTGAAGAATTTTAAGCTTCTATTTATGACTTAATTAATCTAAGTTATAACTTTAATAAACTGTAATGATTCGATATATGGACTATATTAATTTATATTGTTCACATAATTTACTAAACAATTCTTCATGAATATAATTTACGGGGTTGAAAGACCCGAGATCGGAAACCCTTTTTACTGGGAAAGGGGCATTGACTTTAGTTATCAGGGTTGACAATACATATGTGACACACCATCCACTTAGATGCACTGAGTGCTTGTTTGGCACCCTGACTTTACACACAGAATGGAATAGAATAATTTTTTATTCTGTTATGTAATTCTTATTAAACATCATTTTTTACTTTTACCACTGGTTCGGAAAGAAAAACCTCTATCCTGGGAAGACCAACAAAACCCAGCAGGACTTTTGTTTTAAAAAGCACAATTTACAATATAACATTTCATAAAATTGTTATGAAAACATTAAGAAATAACATGGTAGCGATCACCTCATTCCCAGGAGTTATCCCTTACTAAACAATTTTTGCTTAATAAATATTTTAAATCTTTTGATAGATAAGGTCTGCATATTTTCTGGGACTTTGTTGTAAAAGCGTATACATTGCCCCATGAACGAATTATTGACTCTTTGGAGTCGAGTAACTGGTATAACTAAATTGTGCTTGTTCCTAGTATTAACAGAATGTACATCACTATTTTTAATAAAACTATTTTTGTTTTTGTGTACATACATCAAATTTGCGTAAATATATTGGGAAGCCAAAGTTAATATATTTATTTCTATAAATTTTACTCTAAAATATTCATTCGGACCTAGTTTAGGTTATAAATGGCTTTTATGGCGGTCAGTTGCACCCTATAGTGAGATTCTATATGACATTATGCTATGGAAATAACTAAAATAAACTAATCTAGGTGTTTCAACACATGTAAGGTTTCTAATATTTTTTACAGCATATGCTGCAGTATTAATTTGCTAGCTAGTTTAGATATATGAGAGCACCATTGAAGCTTTGCGTCAACTGTAATTCCAAGAAAAAAAATGGAATTAACAAGCCCCAGCTCCTCCCCATTTAAAAGCACACTGGTTTTCACCTGTTTAATATTAGGTGTGGTGAATTTAATACATAACGTTTTATTACTGTTCAAAAGCAAATTGACGTTAAGCCAGTATACTACTTTTGATATAGCATTATTCACTATGTCATATTTCCATAATTGCCTTCTAAATCGGAAAATTAATGAAGTATCGTCACCAAATAAACTACTTCATGATTATTTGTCATCAGGCAGGCTGATTGACCATTATAATACCAGATGTCTCCCACCTTTGACGCTGCTATAAAAATATACAGGCGTCGGTTTGGGTATATTTTTTTTATAGAATAAGGGTGATCGATTTTTGGGACAGTCTGGTATACATGGTTTGAAACATTGACATACTCTTTGGAATTCAAGTATTGTTAATATATCCCCATACCATGTTAATGTGCATAACTCTTAAAATGTTAATTTACCTCTATTTATTCTAGTAGTGGGGGATTTGCACATGTCAAGCTCATTTAAAAGTCTTTGTTTGTAGAAGTGTCATGTGACAGGTTGGCCATTTCCATTCACCTTCTGATGATTTTCTTCAGCTAAGACCACACTCAAAGATTTATATAGCTAAACATTTTTACAAACATTATATTTATAATAGCAATCCGCCACGTCTTCGCATGGGTGATTTTTGGATCTCGACAAAATAAGCATGTATTATACATATAAACATAAACATACATATAGACAAATGAATCATTGTGTCTATTGATGAAAACCATATCAAAATCCGTTGCGTAGTTTAAAAAATCTAAACTTACAGACTTTGTTTTATACTATGTGTAGAGATAAAATTAAAATTACTACTCACTTTAATTCCAACACCATTTCTTTTGATGGTTGTAATAGCATACTGCACATCATCATCATTATCAACATTTGGATCAATGTCAACTACTTCAAAGTCAACTGGTGCACCAATGTATCTGAAGAAAATATTAATAATTACTTTCCAATTCCTATAGAATCTAAAATCTTATAGAAATCTAAAAGAGCTTGGTGATGATAATAATATAAATGTTATTTATGTTCAATATATATTTTCCACTACTTAAAATGCACCTCTACCATTGAAAATAAGATTTTCCTTAATTATCACTCTGTGCAAGGAGATTAACAACTGCAGTACCAGTTCTGCACCTTTGACGCTTCTGCTGTTGTCTGTCTTGGTTTTTTAGGTCCGACATTGATAAGATGATTTGATTTGACACCATGATGATAGGAAACCATAAAACATCTTTCTGGCATCTCCCATACTTTTCTCTTTGATGGTTAATTTTATGCAATAGCATTAGATGTCTCAGTTAATGTATGTGCATTTCATCTATATATATATATATATATATATATATATATATATATATATATACATTTTTTTCCTAGTTTGGGAACTTCCAAAGGATTCTGCCAGCGTCAAGTTTCATGGTTTCATGAAAGTCACACAGAGTATTCGACTAGTTTCCGTTTTCGTAGAAATACTTACTTAGCTTTATGATACGAAGTTACATAGGTAGTTATTTTCGAATAAATTAACATATAATATAATACTAAATTATTGCTAATATTATAATAAATAATAAAATGGATAGGTACATGGTAAAAGTACTATAGTTTAATGGTATTAATGGATATGAAATCTAATAGTTTGTATAAAAGGAGTGTAAACTAAATTTAACGAAGACTTAAGATTTATAGGATGAGGGATGTTATTAGGAAGGAAATTGTATATTGAAATGGAGAGGTTAGGGCAGTTAAAAAATTTATGATCAATTGTACCTTCGTCTAATCCACACTTACAAATTGAGCTATCTTTAATCTTAAATTTTGCTACAAATACAAGTGGACAAGTGTGTCCCAAACTAGTTCTACATATGACAGATGTACTATGTTTGGAGCCATTTCTGAATTTAAAAAACAATGGTTTGGAAGGTATGTCAGGTTGGAGTTCTGCATAATATTTACCGCTAGACATCTGAGATTTTTTCCAGAAATAGTTCCGATCTGACATCTGATGGATTTTCGAAAGAGAAATAATCTAGAGATTTTTTCCAGAGAGAGTTCCAATCTAACATCCGATAGATTTTCGCAAGAGAAATAATCTAAAGATTTTTTCCAGAGAGAGTTCCAATCTGACATCTGATGGATTTTCGCAAGAGAAACAAGGTCATGAGTATATGTTATATGATGCATGAGGGTATGGGTAGTAGATGCTTGTTTTGCTAAGGAATCGACAATTTCGTTGTCACATATGCCACTATGTGCCCAGTCATAGCATAGGACCACCCTGAAATATAGCCTATTTAATAAGAAAGGAATTATTAAAATTTGTTTACAATTGTCGATTATGGCATACATACAAATATACACACACAAATTACATTTTTGATAAAAAGTGAAAGCCAGCTTCAAGAAACTAAAAATAATAAAATAATTTCCACATATTACCTTTCAATGTTGGTGCTAAGGCATATAGAAGTATTAAAGCCCCATCTTCAGAAGCTATTTTATGGTAATCATTTTATTCCTTTTTCAACCAACTTCAAATAAAGGAGGAGATTCTCAATTCAATTGTATTTTTTTATGTGTGATGATACCTTAAAACTTTTTTCTAGGTGAACTGATTTTGATGATTCTTATTTTTATTTGAAAGCTGGTGCTTCTCATGTGGTGCCATATAAATTTTATAAAGATCAAACAGTAACACATACGTAAAAAAGAAGGGAAATAGTCATAATGATAGCTCAATACTTTTTTCAATGTTTATAAAGCTGTCTTTGGTCACATATTTACATACACAATATAAACAGAGTTTAAAAAAACAACATGAATTGAGCATAAACAGCTGTGATGATCATAGTGATAATTAGAGATGGGCCGAATATTCATTTCATATTCAGTATTCGGCAGCTTTACTGAATATTTAGTTTCATCACATATTTAAAGTTAAAGTAGTACTCAAAGTGTCCACTGTATTGAAATATACGAATTGAGTAACATCATGTCTTTCATAATTTTACTGTTGAAAATATTTTTTATCTATTTATAAATATCCTTGTACAGCGTCTATCCTATGTTTTTGAGACACTGTAGATTTATTTCAAATTATATCAAATAGAAAGCTTGATAAAATGTTTTTGGAATTATACAAAAAAAGTTAGTTTCTCTAAAATAAGTCCATTTAATAGATCCACCACTCATTATTATCATATGATTATCAATTTCCACTATGAATAACACAAGGAAATACTTTTTCTCGCTAAAATAGCTAAAAAATAAGCATGTGCCGGCAATTTGCTTAGTACTAGATGATGCAATGACATGTCAGGTGTGGCGGTGGAGCGAGGAGCAAGGTCCTGCACTAGTCCTGCATGCTTTACGAATGTGAAATGAAGTATTGATTTATCATATGAAACAGGTCATTCAAATAGATCACTTTAGGTTTCGTACTCTGTGATCTGTGAGACCCGCAAGGACATGTTGGTTGTCAACCATAAATATAGGTAATTTAGATTCTATCAAACATAAACAAATACTTAATTTTACCTTTTATTTATTTGTTGCATAGTATTTTGAAGTTAAAACCGTGTTATGAATAATGTCTGAACATAAGACTATATAATGTTTATGTAAGAAATGAGGTAGGGTAATAAAAATACCAAAATAATGAGGGATTTGAACTATCATATGTTTAGATAAAGACCGTGATTGGAACTCACTTGAAAATGTCTCTGACATAGCCCATGCATTCCGGCCCAATACCACCACCAGGCAGCATGGAAACAGCATGACGACCACCATACTGCGCTTTAGGAATCGATTGCTGCTTCCTAATAACTGGAGTCTTATGTTGGACATCGAAATCAGATAAGGTAGCTGGTGCAGCCGCAGAGCTGAAGTACACTGTGCCTCTTATTTCGGGCAGAACCAACCTTGATAATAACCTTACTGCCATTCTTCACCTAAGAACACTATTACTCTTAGCTTAACCTTCCCCAAAAATATGATATTTTTGGCGGAGACCCTATTAAATAATCACAGGAAGTGAGGAAGAAAATCTTTGACATTTGACAATTTCTAACGTAACCAGGTGGCGCTGTTTTCTAGTAAAAAATGTCAAACGCAAACATAATATTATATATTTTAAATAGGAATTAATTCAATCTTTGAAATCTAATTCAAATATGTAATAAAAACAGGAATATTTTTCATGACAAAAATATAACACTTGATATTTTGATAAAAAAGCAAAGAAGGAAATACTTATTTCAATATGGCAATAGCAATCTATTAATTTCAGTTTTAATATTCTCTCCCAGAAATTGTAGCAATCAGTGTAACCAACATAAGGATACCCCCCTAAAAGGAGTAAAATTAGCATCAGTTTTTTGGTGGAAATTTTTTTTTTGGGTTATTGAGAAATTTAGTTTAGTTTATAATTAGATTTTCTAGACTAAGTTAAATTCAGTTACATATTTATTTAAAATCTAAAATTAGCTGTAATTTGACGTTCAAGCCTGGCCGCAAACTATAACAAATTTTATGTTTGATTCCCAAACTTTGCAGGCTTAAAAATTATCGAAAGAATCATTCGCTTCTAATGTTCGCTGGATGTATGTTAATCTGATAACAGAAATTCGTTTTAACAGAAAGTTAGAAGGCATGCTCTTTAAACATTTCAAGAATATACGCTCTTGTGATTTGCTCATATTCATCTTCCAAAGGTGACTGACGAAAATTACTGAACTTATTACGAGATCTAACTACAGAGCTGGAATAGTCTTGTACCTCCTAGGTTATTCTAAAGATCGCTGGGCACTGGTTTATTTCGAACAGTGCACTAGTTCATTTTATTAGTTCTATTTTTTTATAGGAGAGAGGGTAAATAAGCATACGGCTCACCTGTTGGTAAGTGATTACCGCCACTCGTGAACAACTGCAACACCAGGGCAATTGCAGATGCGTTGCCGGCCTTTTAAAATGGAGTAGGCTCTTTTCTGGAAGGTGGCAGCCGATTCCACAAGAAAGTTGTGGGAAGAAAATATCTTTTAAATCGCACGGTGGTGGATCGCCAGTCATCCAGATATATAGATGTTATCACGAGTTTTTCGCGATGTGCGATGGTGAAATTGTGCGGCTGGAATTAGTCTGAACAATTCCTCAGAGTACTCCCCGTGTTAAATGCGATAAAATACGCAGAGATGCAACATCTATTCGCAATGCCAAGCAATCCAATCAGAAAGAGTTCACTAGCCGACGATTCAACGGCTTTGAGCTGGATGCGATCAAATGGAAGGAGCTGGCATTGGGGAGCCACAACCCAGAGATGGGAAAGTATTCCATGTGAGGCCGAAACTGCGCCTTGTAAAGTTGCAGGCGGTGTGCCGGCATGAAATACTGTCCCGCTCTGCTGAGCACGCCAAGCTTTTTAGATGCTAGTTTGGCCTTCTCTTTCAAGTGACCACGAAACTACATGTCACTCGATATGTCGACGCTGAGGATTCCGATACTGACTTAGGCAACAAGGGGAGTGCCTCTAAACTGTGGAGATACGATGAAGGTTTTTTTAGCGGTAAACGCACAAACTTGTGTCTTTTCGAGATTGAACTGGACTAGATTTACTCGCCCCCACTCCAAGACTTTGTTCTACAAAGTCTCAACTTGAGACACAAGTTTGGCCATATGTTCATACGAACGTATGGCCACATCTACTTATATTTATTGGCCATGGCGTAATAAGTTAAAAAGCTTAACAGAGAAAAAAGCCGCAATGAGTATTAAACAATTGTATGGCGCACATCACACTTCAACTTTCTAACAATCTTAGGCGAATACAAGTGCTGAAACGAAGTCTATCATGAGTTTATTTGTGTTTATTTAAAAAGTGTAATAAATACAATAGCTTGCGAACACAGTAAGTCTCACATCTTTTCGAATCACAAGCCAAAAACCGTTATTATTTTGACATGCCTAACATGTATCTCTCTTTCAATTTAATGGATTTGGTCAATGGTAGCTTTATAGGCATTCGCCGGCTCTAGTACAAATGACATACTCACCGACTACCTCGCTCACTCGCTCTCATTCTCAAGTGGAGGTTACTGGGTTTGCTGAAGTAAATATTGTGTGTAGCCACGAATGCGGATGGTCATCCAGTACGCGTTAGGAATTTTTTTGAAAAAAAAAAATTCTTATAATGTGTGAAAAAATACACATACTTTACATTTGAGTTTGCATGTTTTCCACAGGAATTCTTTATTAGTAAAGTATGTCTCAATGACTATGTACGGCAGTGAATGCTTAAATACTGTTACAGTTTTAGTTTACAATACATAGCATTTTAGGGGCTTTTGAGCTCACACCTAGAAACTTGCAACACTGGTAGTCGTTTTTTCACGAGTCGAGCGAGCACTGTGAAGAGTAGGCGTCCATTTTCTTTCGCCATATTGAATTTGGTCGGACATATTTGGACGCCATGTTTAGTCGGACATATTTTATAAACATTTTCGCGTAAATTTCAAATATTTTCAGCACTAAATAACAAACTTTTTTTCACTGAGGTGTATAGTATTAATTGCAGTGAAAATAGTTCTGAAAAAATCTGTGCCTACGCAACAGCCAATATTTGTCTCCTGGGGGCCGTGGAGCTTTTGTTAAAAGCTAAATAAAGGTAAACTATTTTCACCGAAAACAATCTTACTTTATGAAACATTGTAACAAGTAATTTTTATTTTCGATGAAATTACGCATCACGGTGTACTTTAAAGGTGACTAAATGAAAGTCATGGGACAGGGGTTTTGTCTTTTAACGGATTGGCGTGGTCGTTTTATTAATTATCTAAAAAATAGCTGTTCGTATACCCGGCCGGTTTACCTCGTCGTATAGTCGCACCTGCTGCTCTTGATAGTTGTTATTTATTAATTTATTAATATATATATGCTTATTTACCCACATTGCAATTGGACAATATTTTTTATTATTTTAGTTCAATTATCTTACTAGTAATGTAATATTACATTCACAAATAGTTCGGGCACCGATATTACAACGTCAGTCATACTGGATTATTTCCTCTGGATAGCTAAGGTTGACAGCTATTCGGGTTTACAAATTTTCTACTTTGGCATTGTAAATTATACGTATCGCTACGAACTTGGAATACACTCATTTCAATTTGCAGTCGGTCGGGTAATTTCGTAAACAAAGTTTTAACTTATAAGGGCATGGGCGTTTATATTAGTGTCATTCTATTGTCATTCCTGAAGAAAAAGTATTACTTACATAAGAAGTTTTGACAATTTTAAATAATGTACTTAAAATTCTGAGTCATAAAATTAATCATTTGATAACAACTCAATGTATATTGATATACAATAACGTCTGAACTGTTAATAGTGCAATTGCCTGCACAGAAGAAGCAAGAAGCTTATTTCTCTCCAATAGGAAGTAATTTATTTTCTACCATTTAATATTCATGCAAATTATCATGGTTAATACATTTTGAGTCACACACATATATGTATATAAAATCATATCGAGGTTACAACAGCAAAAAAATTGCTATAATTGTAAAACAATATCTTGTTATTCTAGTGGTTTTGTTATGAACATATATTATTTAAATGTGTCTTGATAAAAAAATGACAATACTCCCTACATATTGGCATTTTAAAACAGTTTTTACACATTAAGTATATCCTTTCTTTTTGTTTCTTAATTCCTCTCTTTTTCTTAAACAGAATTTGTATATCTTATTACATTCTGGCTTTTAGTAGAGGGACCTATAAAGTTCTCACTCAGTTTTTCAAAATAACTTGCATTAATTCTGCTCCATATATGTAGTTTTCTTGGAAACTGTAGTGTTTGCTGTCTTGTGTTCAAGTTATCCCTGTTAAAATTGTTTTACAAAACAAACCTTTTGTAACTATGTGCCATACACGGTGAGGTGTGTAATACCTAACCAAACTTAGCAAGCATGTCGATCACTTAGAGGCAGCCTTAAGACTGATGCAACACTAGTTGAAGCGGCAACAGTGTGACTAGTACAACTACTACTGAAAAGACTTACTTCTGTACATTTGATATTTGGAAGTATTTATGTTTTATTTATAACCAGGTTGTGTTTTACCTCACCTTTTTTATTTTTATAGAATAAAGCCACACCTGTTGGTAAGTGGATGCTGGGGCCCATAGACATGTACATTTATCTTCAATTAAGAATCAAAATGCAGATGCGTTGCCAGCACTGAGGACTGAGATGGATTGCCTCGTTTCCAGTAAAAAGGGTCTCCAGTCCTCTACACTCACCATACCAAACAGTAGCATTAAGCTGATATTTTACGCTAGTATTCTGTGAGTGTGTGGTGTGTACCCTGGTCGAGCCGACCCATTCATGCTGCAACCACAATATAGCTGCAGCTCAGCTGGTGCAAAGATAAAGAAATGCACAGTTTTTAGGTTTTATAGGTTTGTTAACGCATTCTTTTATTTATTGTCTACTGAAACATAAATAACGAGAGGTGCCTACAATAAATACAATAAAGCTTTAATTTACCTTCAAAAAGAAATAGGTGTTTAAAAAATAGTTCTTAAAGAAATTTGCTAATCATACATAATTTGGTAATTTTGTTACTCCTGAATTGTGCTTAGTATTACATTATTGCAGTTTTTACCATAATTTTACAGCATTCCAAGATGATGAACCAAGAGATAATGTGTGAAGTTGAAATTGGGACACATGGCAGTATGGTAGAAATAGATGCTGATGACCAAGTGGGAGTTAAGGTATGGTTTGTAAATAGGAACAAAAACAGCTTTTTTATTCAATATAGATTATAAATACTTATTGAAAGTTACACTTTTGTTTAATTTACCACTAGTCCTGGGAAGAACCAGCAAGAAACCCAGTGAGCCTTTTATTTAAAAAAAAAAACTAAATAACAGGTTACAATCAT